TGTATTGTATTTTTGAATTTTTTTTTTATTAAAAGGCTGGAATTTAAAATGTATAGGTGTCAGTCGATCCCAACATGTCTCTTCATCGCCAGCAATGTCATATAAGATGGAATATCAGCTCCAGCAGACCAGCAGACCAACCATACTGTATAATATCTACTTAGATATCAACATCATAATAATGATTTTTTTTTTATTACAATGCATGTGTTATACATTTTAGAATATATTAAAGTAAATGGAGAGTTCAAAACTCACCTATGTGATACAAGAATGACAATGTCTTATGCAATACAGATTGAAAACTATTGGGGACGACCATTTGATTTTCGGGGGGGGGGGGGGGGAGGATATTGAAAATGAAAATAGATAACTTTGAACTTGACAGGATGAAAATGAATATTCTGCAACACAGAATGCAGGAAACAAATGTGCACAACAGTGCAAATCAGCATGCGTAGCAATAGATGAAAATAAATTATTAATCAGAACAAAAATCCTCCTGCACCCCACCCCTTTTCCCCTTTTGCCAGAATATCAAACGGTCGTCCCCTTAATGATCATTTACTAAATAAAAAAACTTTTATATTATTTTACTTAAACTATATAATCCGGTGATAGAAGAGTAAACAATGCCAGGAGGGTCTGGATGGGGTTTACAGAATAAAGAAAAAAAAGGCAAAAAATTAGAGAATAATGGGGTGTTACAATATAAAAAATACAGAATAATTGGCAAAGTAAATAAAGAATAGAGAAAAAATGGCATAAACATTAAAGGATAAAGAAATGAGGGACCCCACATCCAGACCCTTCTATAGATACATAACACTGTTCAAAATCCGCTGTACATGATTACAAAATCCACTGTATTGCAATGGCAATTGGAACAACCGACAATGTTCTGTTGTACACGTTAGAAAAAAAAAACAATAGTTTTTAATGGCAATCTGGAACACAGATCTTGTTATACCTTCTGTAGTGATAGTCGGTAATAGGGTGTGTTTATACATCAGTTGATTGGTCTATAGTTTTTCACCACGTCCGCAATCAAATGGTTGAGACAAACTGTTCTTGTAGTACCAAATCACCAAGGCAACTGCTATATCCATCATAAGGAACACGGACACTGCATGCATTTGAAGAATTGTATATCTTATATAGTTTAATAACTGAATTTATCTACTGGTAGTTTTTAACTATTTTTTAAGGATACCTCACGTTTCTGATCTGTGTGTGTGTGTGTTACTATTTTTCATTGTCAAGATGCTTCATTTTTTTTTTCTGATAAACGTGTGACTACTTGTTTTCTTTGCCGCGGGCTATTTTAAAGGCCTTTTCACGGTTTTTTTTCTCCAAAGATGTATGTTTCTTCTGTGTTAAGGAACTTGGATGTTTGCTTGTTTTTCTGACGTTTATCGGGAATTTGGTACATGTTTAAGTCGTATTTTATTTGTTTGTGCACTTGCTGTTCTGTCCTTCACTACAATGTTTGGGTTTGTTTTTTGTTGTTTTTCTTTTGAGGGGGAAGGTAGTTAGCCTTTGACAGCCCAGTTAAAGTCTTTACGTTGAAAGAAGCATCATAAGTATTGCTGAAATAGTTTGTACTACTAGTATATCATAAAAGGGTTAATTTACAAGTTTTGAGGAATGTTGGCCCTCACAGTATATCATGTTGCATTTGCAATATGATATGCTGATCGGGCAATATTCATTATTATCTTACCTCCTATACATTTCTAGGAATATGATTGGTTAAAAACGTCCGCGTGGAGACCGTGTATATTCCATATTAGGTTAGTAGGGAGGCAGGGCTTATTTCAATACACGGTTAGTAGTGGTGTTACGTCCCTTTATAAAAACAAAACGGTACTGAGAAAAATCTTAAAGGTTTCAACAAACGAAGAAATTGATGATTAAGATTGAAATAAATTCATAAAACACATTTAAAGCTAACAAGTTGTTATTGTTGGCATCTGCTTTTGTATGATCAATGGAAGTAGTTTCGTAATGCTAACGGTATTGAAGACTTGCTCATTTTGATAGGTTACTAGTGTAAATATCACACGTTAAGATAGTCGGGAAGATAAATTCGTTACATAGCGTGCTAGTGACGTAATACGGTATATATGGGGTCAGTAAATTCCATATGGGGATTCGAGATTCGCTCTCACCCCATATGGAATTTACTGACCCCATATATACCGTATTAGGTCACTAGCACACTATGTAACTAATAGTATTAGTGTAATAACTCTTTAAAATTATATTCTTAGAGTAGTTGAAATAAATAGTAGTGGAGGTAACTTTAAGCCAATATGTCTCAAGTTTACCTGCCGAAAAATTAGCAAAAAGTCGAAGCACTGTGTGTGTGTATTAAATGTCATTTTTGTTGTACATATATAAATGAAATCCAATGTGATTGAAATACAGACAGAGTCCACGCTTCGCTTACAAGAATCTGACAATGCTTCGCTCTACTTTCTGTTATTAGAGAACTTTCGGGATTCTCTGGTTTTGTCGTTATAATACACACCGTACAAAATTTGAAGGCTGAAATTTCATTGGCTGATGTAATTATTACAAGCACAGAAAGTACAACGGAGGGTTATCAGATGCACAATGAAATAAAACACACAACTGTATATCACAATTTGTTTTAATACATAGCACTTATTGTAAACAGATAATTATATAAATTCCTGAGAACATAAACAAATTATTAACAACAAATGGAATTTGGCATAATGGTTTGATAAACACAATAGAAACAATTTACTGACAACAATAACTACGTTTTCCTGAGAAACCATGGGTAGAGATACAAGTGAATGTCTTACTGCTTAGTAACAGTGACATATAATACAATATGTATTATATGCCTCTGTTAATATTGGTGCAAAATTAAGACAAAAAACTCTTGACAGAACTGCGCAAAATCCGAATACTCTTGCAATGTATATCATGCTGCTTTATTTGTATCAATACATACATGTATAAACGTATATTCACGAACTGCATTAGGGGACGACCATTTGATATTCTTTGGATAGGGATAATGTTTTTACGAACGGATTATCCAGTTTAACATATTGCTAGGCCAGCTTATTTATTTCGCGCGGAAAAACTGCGTGACAATTTATTTTCAATTTTGTACACAACTATTGTGACAAGATATTTGATAAAACTTTATAACAAACTAGGTCGGAAACTATTATTTCACTTTAAGTGGAAGCGATATCAATACTACAAATTATAGTTGGGTATTGTCAATACTAATTTAAATTATCTTCTAAAACACTATCTTTATCATTACAAGATTAATACAAATGAATAATTAATTATGTCATGATAGAACAAATCTCTAATGAGATATGAATCAAATTAACATCACAAACAGGTCAACATTTATTATATAACTTTGGACTTATTATAAACATCTGTTCTTAAACAACTTAAGAATTAGCCTTTCTTTCGGACTGTTCGATATTTGCTTATAATAATTAAGAAAGTTACGTAAGCTTGAATTAGAGCTGGCTCGCCAAAATGCGAACCTCTCCTTAATAGGTAAGTTCAGGACTTTACTACTTTAAAAGTTAAATAAAACTTTGATAATTAATATAATCGATATAAAATTAATCTAAAGTTATTTTAGAAAATATTTACTGTTTTATTATTTAGAAATCAACTGAAAACGTATGTCTGATTTTATTATTGTTTTTCAATTTGTTTTATCGTTCAGATTGTATTTTATCTTGTATTGTAACTTCCTTTTTCTTTATTAAAAAATGCGAACCTCTCCTTAATAGGTGTCAGTCTCTACTACAGCGACAGAAGTGCCTTATACCATCCTAGGTATTGCAACCAGCTAGTCTCCCCAAAATGGAAAGGTTTAGTTTCTAATCTCACACAAGTCGCTCTTCTGTTGAGAGTAAGAGAAAGGAACACAACGATGGACCGTGTTATTCTGATATGAACATAGTTACTCATTTATTACAATAAAACTATTTTATTTGAGGTACAGAATATTCAGTTTCGTCCTGTTTTAGGAACTTCTTTTTTTCCCAGTTTTTACCATGCTAGGATATTCATTTCCAAAATACCCTGCCTTCGCAGAAAATCAAATGATCGTCTCCTTATTTGACAACCAATTTTTCAAGACTAACATAGTCTATAAGCTTGCCTAAAATTGTTATTTGACCCAGTATTATGTAAAAATACCGCTAAAGTTGCATTTACAAATACATTAATACTACATACAAAAAAGTCGTTATTTGATTCTGCCAATCTCAACATACCAATTCTTATTCCCTCGTATCACACACCGGGCATTCCAATCCGAAATCCGCGAAGGGATCCGAATCCCGAGGAGCAATTAATGATAAGTTTGTAACTTTTGGTAAGTACAATCTGGATCAGATTCCCATGAAGCATAATTTCTTCATGGGAATTGAATCCAGATTTTATTCATCCAAGTTACAAACTGTTCAATTATTGTTCCTCGGGATTTGGACCCCTTCATGGATTTCGGACAAGGATACCCGGTTTGTTTCGGAAATGATTGCCAAGTGATCTGTTGAAGTCGAGCAGTGACTGATTCATTAAGGTGGAGTGTAGAGGGCGTATTCACGTTTTCATTCGCTGTGATCGGCCTTACATTTGGAAGAATTGACGCCCCTCCCCTCTTGAACCCTTGATCCGTCCCAGAACAAAATTTGTCAATGAAATACTGAAAACAGAAACTCTTTCTACCGCATTATGATAATTAGTGGTGCAAACGTACAACGCGTGAAATTTGGTCGTTTCAAAACCTTTCAATACAAAAATTTTTTGTTTAAATAAATTTTAAAAAGTTAGCTTACTGGTTGAAACTACTTATTTTCGTTCATAAATATATGTTGCTACCGGGTTTCTCAGTACAATAGGTATAAATGTATATGCCATGTGACATTACAGTAGTGTCAATCATATTTTTGGTTTGACATTCTAAGATAAAAAAAACAATCGTTTAAACCTTCATTATACGTATCTATGGATATGTACAATCGTCAAATATTGAATAAAAATATAAAACATTTAAAATAAAACATGTCCAGTTTGTCGCATACAGAAAAAGGAATAACATGGAAAATAATATCAACATGTAATAAAATGTTTTCGAACATCTTCATAAAACCAATCCAACTTTTTCTCGTTCAGTTCTCGACATTACAATTATACAAAGAAATAAACTGAACTTAAGCTACACATTTTTCATCATAAAATCACGAAGAATGAAAACAGACAATAATGTCAATATGCATAGGAACGATCAAGTATAGGTAATGCACGTAAAAATTCCCCCTGACGAAATTCAACTTTACACCAAAAACATGGAATTTTATAACCTTCGTAACCTATGACATCATCAAACTGACAACTATGACAATCCGTACCGCGACGAATATGTGGCTTTTTAATGGTGTGTAAAATTGTTCTGATCATGATATCTTCGTTGCGGAATCGTGGTTGAGGACCTGTGAGTGAATAAATTGGATCATACGGATTATTTGGTCCGTAAAAATATCGATCAAATGTAGCTTTTAATTGTCGCATAAGGTTTGTTCGAAATCGGCGAACTGGTGTGACTTCTTGACTTGATATTTCATTGTAATCACAATATCTGCGCATAAAATCATATGCATATTCGACGACCTCATTAAAACATCGCGCATGTGCAGTTGATGGATCAACTTTCAGTCCTACGTAAGAAACATCACTCATTGGTTGTGTGTTCATCAACAGAAGTGACGGAATTTCGTGTTCATAAGCGTACTCTCTTTTCTTTAGGAAGTTTCTATCGTATTTCGAACTTTCATATTTTCTTTCATACTCTTTACTGTCAGATCTTTTAATGCTTGTACGATAATTGTAATCTCTATCCTTTCCAACATTGCGTTTGTAGTAATTGCGTTCTGATTCATATTTTGAATTTTTCTTACTTTCAGTAGTTCTTCTTTTATCAGGATCTTTCTGGTTTCGCATCTGTTTCGGACCGGTGTCATCAGTATGGTTTGCAATTTCGTTTTGTTTTGCTATAGTAACTTTTGATTTGATTTTTCTATTGTTTTGTTCAATTCGTCCACGTTTGCTTTCTTTAGAATCGCTTCCTGTTTCTAAATCTAGTTTTCTCTTATTCTTATTTGATTTTGTCGGACTTTCTTCGTCAGTGAGGTCTATCACTACACAATCTTTTTTCTTAACATCTTTATCATCTTCCTTATCAGTCTTGCTTTGTTGAACATCGTTCTTTTCTTTTTCTTCGTTTTTAATGGTAACAGAAAAGTTATCACTATCATCAGTAACTATATTTCGTTTTGCTACACTCATTTTTGATTTAATTCTTTGTCTATTTTTTGTAGAGTGTATAATTTTCACACTTTTCGATAAGATACACGTGTTTGCCAAAAGTTTGATTTTCCTTTTGTTTTCATAGGGAGATGGTTTCGGAATTTGTTCAGCTAGGAGATCTACTACATCATAATCTCCCTTTTCATTATTTGCTGCATCTTCTTTATCACTTTGTCCATGTTTCAAAACATTTTCAGTTTTTGATGAGGTCATTAAAGTATCCGATTTGGCGCACTCTTGATTCTGTATGTCACTGATACATGAAATATTACCGACAAATCTTTGCGACATCACATCATTGTTCGACGTTGCTTTCACAAGATCATTTACAGAAGTTGAGCTGCAATCTAATTCGGGGATATTTTCATTTAAAGTTGCGGATAAAATAGACATAAGTTTATGTTTAGAAGTTACGATATTTGAAGGTTTCAGTATAGCATTCTCACAATTAACAGTACATTGTGTCTTTGATACTTCATTGTCAATTGTTTCACAAGCATTTTCCTGTAAATCTGCAATTTTGTTTACTTCTTGGTCGGGTGTTGCTGTATAAATACGTTTCGATATATCATTGTAACAAGTTGATGTTTCAACAGACTTCAGTACAACGTTGTCAGTGGTTTTGTAACATACTGGTACCAGATCACCAATGTCATGCAAGGTAGCAGAGACTTTTGGTGTACCAGTTATTACATCCTTTTTGTATTTTTCAATGCACACAGACGTTGATGTGTTCGTGTCTAAAATTGATATTTCAACATCCTTTTGGACATCTTTATCAGTCGTCGTCACACAAATAGTTTTCTGTGCATCTTTTTCGATAATCGCGTTATCACAGGATTTTGGTATATACGTGTAAGACGTTGTGGTACAAACAGGCCCCTGGACTTTTTTGTCAGATATAACAATACCAGCCTCCTTTGTATTATTGTCGTTAGTTCGGAAATCAACAGGGTTTGTATCCTCCATGATGGTATTACAAACAAGTTTTTGAGCGTTATCGTTGGAGGTTTTGGTATCAACTAACCCCGGTATCGTATTCTCAGAAGTTGCAACATTCATAATACTAATGTCAGAACTTTTGACATAATGCTTCGGTGCTTCCTTTCTCGGCGCTGTATCACTGTCTGGATTTGAAACAACTTCATCAGATATAGCAGTACAAATATCCTGTGCATCATCTACGGAGGTGGAAATACAAATTGACTTTAATACATGAATTTCTTCCTTTGGTGATAAATCTTGAATTTCTCCCTTTGGTGATAAATCTTGAATTTTTTTATTTGGTGATAAATCTTGAATTTCTTCCTTTGTCGATAGCGTAGGTTTTATCTTTTCCCATTTACTAATCGCATTCATTGGACGACTTGTAGTTGGTTTGTTGACGTTATGTTGCAATTTAATGAATTTATCATTGTATTGTTCACTTTTGGTAGGCGTTAGTATCAATGTTTTCTTTTGAATACGGGTTTCCAATGAAGCTTTATTTATCTTAAGAGTTTCAAGTAAAGGCTGTTTAATAGATTTGCTGAAATGTGTCGTCGCTGTATCGTTGCAAGGTATAATGATATTTTTATGATTAATTTGGTTGGATAAAGCGTCTTTATTCTTGTTGACGCTTTCCATGACCTTATTGTCGGCTTCAGGAGTAATTTTACTATTTGTGATCAAAGGTACGTCTTGTGGTTGCTTCTTGTTTTTATGTAAAGAACTATTGTCAGAATAAACAGTTAACAGTTTGTTGTGTTCTCCGATAAATTCATTAGTATCAGATCTGTCTGAAGTCAGTTCATGTGCATCGCTCATATCAAATATTATGTCTTCCTCTTCTGTTGGATTAGTTGATGCTTGGTCGGATTCATTTGCAGTCTCATCCAATGAGATGAAATTGTCGTTTGAAGCTAAATTTGTTATTGAATCTGCCTTTGCTACTTTTGTAGTCGTCTCGGTTTCCTTTGAAGCAGCACTCAAAACAAGTACGCTTTCCACTGATGGGCGATTTTCATCAACATAAACTTTTGTATTACTACTTTTTCCATCCTTTGTTTGCAAATCCTTTTCTGAATTTTTCCATTCTTTTGATTCATCAGTAGATTTCTGACATACTTCTTTTTTAGAATAACTTTCCTGAGTGTTCATATCTTCATTATTGTTCATTCGTATAAGAGTAGATGGATTTTCAGTTCTTTCATTTTGTTCTTGACCACTTTGCATTTCTGCATTACCTAAGATTTTCTTTTCATCTCTTTCGGTAGACAGGCGGATCGGTGTTCCCGATTCATAAGGTTTATAAATGTCATCTTTATCAAATATACCACTTCCATACCGTCCGACAAGTTTAGTTGCATCATCAGCTCTAAGACGATCTCTTTTATCATATCTACGATTTCCGTCGCATCTTCGCATTTTTCCTTCATCGTACCTCAGACTTTCATACTTTTCGTCGCATCTTCGACCATCGTATTTTACATCATGCTTTCGACTTCTTTCCTTTAAAACTCTATTATCACCGTTGTTATCACGTGATTTGATTACTTTATTATTAGAACTTACTTTTCTTTCTCCTTCTTTTCGCCCACTTACTTTTTCATTCTTCAATTGTATACTCGTCTTGTCAGTGCATTTAGACCGATCTATCTCCTTCGTTTTGTGTCCATGAGTTGGTGTGTTTCTCTTGCATTCATCTATCAAAGTTGATATTTTCATTTTATTTTGGACGTCTGATATAATTGATTGATTCTTTTTACGAACTGCTTTGTCTACTTCACTTTTCGACAAAGTTTTGTCTGAGCACTCATCTCGCACGATTGCGGCTAATGTAATGGTCTCGGGGTCTGTTTTTGTTGTTTCAGAGTATGACTTTTTAACTTTTTGAAACTCATTCGCCAGCTTGAAAATATCAACTGCGACAGCCTTCATTTTACATTCTATTTCTTTTGACTCAACATTGTGTTTACTCTCCAAATGAACATCTGTATCGGGTTCAAATGGGTTACTTTGCGTTTTAATGTTATCTTTCCCCACAACATCCTCTAAAGTCACCCGTGACTTGGTACTCGAATTTTTCTGTTTACTAGGCAAATTCCTTGCATCGTTATTTGAAGAATTGTGTCTGGTTTTTGTTGGATTATTTTTTTCAGAATGTTTTATTTTTTCGCTGGAATAATCTTTCAGTGTTAATTTTGTGCCTTCGGATTTACCACCTAAATTCGTCTTTGATGAGTCAAAGCTAAATGTCTTGTATGATTTTAATTTATCATCTCTTCTACATTTTTCATGGACTGCTTTTTTCGATAATGATGTACATTCTTTGGTTCTAATTCTATCATTTGAATCGTTGCGTCTAGTGATATCTGCTTTCTTCTTTTCCGTTATTTTCAAACTATTTGAAATTATCTTTGAATCTTTTGTTGCTGTAAATGTAGAGTTGTAGTTTTATTAATTCCTTGAACATTAATATGACCTGTTGACTAAAGAACGGAATTAATGCATGGCAATTAAATTAGAAATTAAGAAAAACTCTGAAATGTTCATTATATATTAAACGATTTGGCCCTGCAGTTTTAGGTTCATTGATCAATCAGAACTTTTAACTACTGTTTGCAGCAGTTTTAGTTTTGAGTCAAATGCAATGGGATATTTTTATAAGAGACCCTCCAATACATTACCAATATTCCTACTAAGTTTCTTTATGTTTATCAGTGCAGTGTTTAATTAAGGATGCAATTTCAAAAAGTGTTAAATTGAAACCTTTGTGGCACGACCCTAATGTCCCCTAATCAGTACGAAATAGAGCATTCACGTATTATCTGTAAGAAGTCTCAAAGCCATCTTTCAATGAAGTTGGAGTATAGATATTGTCTTAAAGTTTAAAATTATAATTCAGAAAACTGATTAATCAGAATCAAGGATTGCAATAGGAACGAAGTTAGGAAATATACGCGGGATCCATAAATCATCTTTCCTAAAATTTTGATCAGATTGCTTGAGTGGTTTTTAAATAGAGGAAGATATGACTTTGCACCATTGCCCTCCATGTATAAAACGGAATCATCGCATATAAGTCTGTTTGTCAAATTTAGCATTCCTGTACAGTTCAAAAAGGTTTAAAGAACTCTTCGCACCAAGAATAGTGTGTTAACAAAAGAGAGTCCTGTAAAAAAATTCTTGCAGTCAATTTATAAATGTTAACAGGAATTGTAGTCAATCCACAGCCGTTATGTCCTGTGATTTTTCTGCAATAAATGTATACTTTGACCAATAAAAGGATATTTTGTGACATCAATCAAAGCGTAGACGGTGATCTAAATCAAAATCGATAGAATTCTTTTCGTACTTTGCCAAATTTTAGTGTATTTCGTGCTATATTTTCAAACTTCTATCAAAAAATGTTGTCACCAAGCTTTTTTTTCAAGCAACAGGTTTGTGCAAAATGGTCACATTTTGTAAGAACTATACATGGAAAAACACTTTTGCTTGAATAGAAAGAAAACTTAATGATAAAACTTTCAAATACAATAGGAGAATGTGCTTTTTGAAAATAATAAAAAATAAATGGGGAATGTGTCCATGGGACACAGATGGTGCCCTCGCTTGCATATAACGTTATAAAGGGATATAACTCAAGAACTGTAAAAGTGACACTACCCAAATTGTACTTGATCTGAGTTTTGTGGTAATAAGCATTGTGCATAAGTTTCATAACATTTGGTTGAGGCAAACTAAAGTTAGAGAACAGAAACAAATATTTCAGGAATTTTTCCATTTGTAAAGGGGTATAACTCTAGAACGGTAAAAGTGACCCCACCAAAATTCAAACTTGATCTGTGTTTTGTGGTTATTAGCATTGTGTATAAGTTTCATAACATTTGGATGAGGCAAACTAAAGTCAGAGAACAGAAACGAAAAATTCAGCAATTTTTCCATTTGTAAAGGGGCATAACTCTAGAACGGTAAAAGTGACGCCACCAAAATTCAAACATGACCTGTGTTTTGTGGTAATAAGCATTGTGTATAAGTTTCATAACATTTTGTTGAGGCAAACTAAAGTGAGAGAATGGAAACGACAAATTCAGCAATTTTTCCATTTGTAAAGGGACATATCTCTAGAACGGTAAAAGTGACCCCACCAAAATTCAAACTTGATCTGTGTTTTGTAAGAATAAGCATTGTGTATAAGTTTCATAACATTTGGTTGAGGCAAACTAAAGGAGAACGGAAACGAAAAATTCTGCAATTTTCCATTTGTAAAGGGGCATAACTCTAGAACGGTAAAAGTGACCTCACCAAAATTCAAACTTGATCTGTGTTTTGTGGTAATAAGCATTGTGTATAAGTTTCATAACATTTGGTTGAGGCAAACTAAAGTTAGAGAACGGAAACGAAAATTTCAGCAATCATTTGTAAAGGGGCATAACTCTAGAACGGTAAAAGTGACCTCACCAAAATTCGAAATTGATGTGTGTTTTTTGGTAATAAACATTGTGTATACGTTTTATAACATTTGGTTGAGGCAAACTAAAGTTAGAGAACGGAAACCAATTTTGGGACGTACGTACAGACGGACAAGGGTAAAACTTAATGCCCCCTCTGCTACGGAGGGGGCATAAAAATAGTGGTCACCGTACTCGTTTTCTTGCTACATAAAACTAGAGACTCTAAAGAGCTGTGTCGCTCACCTTGGTCTATGTGCATATTCAACATACAACATTGTAGACGAGAATAGAATTCATGAAAAAAATCTCTTGTTTTGTTGATCTTGTATTGCTGATCATTTTCCAATATTGTAGACGAGAATAGACTTCATGACAAAAATCTTTATTTTGTTGATCTTGTATTACTGATCTTTTAGTCTTTTTAGTTTCTCTCTTATACATGCTTATATATCTTCTTTAGTTTTTGCTCAAAACACAAAAGAGGGTAAAAAAAAATCCTCATTTAAGGGCAATCACTCCTAATAAAAGTGACAGTCTACTAACTATATCGGCAAAATTTGACTTTTTAATAGATCTTGCCTTGCTGATCATTTTTGTGATTTAAAGTGTCTATTTATCTATTATAATTTATATCATATAAGGCATAACAGAAAAAAATGATTCTCTCTTAATATCATAGTTTTCATGCTAATAGGCAAAAATGAAAAAAAATGGTAAAATTTGTCATTTATGGGCAATAACTCATAAAAGAATTTGTCTAACATTTTTGAAATATATGGACAATTGGTTGAGCTCATTAATCTAAATATTTTTGCTCCTTTCAGATTTTCTCTATTTATAACGGTTCAAAAAATAATAGACAAAACATGTCGGTTGGTAGGCGGGGTCATCGGATACATTTTTAAAACTAGACACCCTTATGATCATTATGAGCAAGTTTGGTTAAATTTGTCTAAGTAGTTTCAGAGGAGAAGATTTTTGTAAAAGATTACAAAAATTTACAAAAAACTGTTAAAAATTGACTATAAAGGGCAATAACTCCTTAAGGGGTCAATTGACCATTTTAGTCATGTTGACTTATTTGTATATCTTACTATCCTGAACATTATTGCTGTTTACATGTTATCTCTATCTATAATAATATTCAAGGTAACAACCAAAAACTGCAAAATTTTCTTAAAATTAGCAATTCAGGGGCAGCAACCCAACAACGGGTTATCTGATTTGTCTGAAAATTTCAGGGCAGATAGATCTTGACCTGATAAGCAATTTTTGCTCTGAATGCTTTGGTTTTAGAGATGTAAGCCAAAATCTGCATTTTATCCCTATGTTCTATTTTTAGCCATGTCGGCCATGTTGGTTGGTAGGTGGGGTCATCGGACTCATTTTTTAAACTAGATACCCTAATGATCATTGTGGCCAAGTTTGGTTAAATTTGTCTCAGTAGTTTCAGAGAAGATTTTTGTAAAAGATTACAAAAATTTACAAAAAAATTGTTACAAATTGACTATAAAGGGCAATCACTCCTTACGGGGTCAGTTGACCATTTTGGTCATGATGACTTATTTGTAGATCTTTCTTTGTTGAACATTATTGCTGTTTACAGTTTAACTCTATCTTTAATAATATTCAAGATAATAACCAAAAACTGCAAAATTTTCTTAAAATTACCAAATTCAGGGGCAGCAACCCAACAACGGGTTGTCTGATTTGTCTGAAAATTTCAGGGCAGATAGATCTTGACCTGATGAACAATTTTACCACAATGTCAGATTTGCTCTAAATGCTTTGGTTTCAGAGATATAAGCCAAAATCTACATTTTACCCCTATGTTCTATTTTTAGCCATGGCGGCCATCTTGGTTGGCGGGCTGGGTCATCGGGCACATTTTTAAACTAGATACCCCAATAATGATTGTGACCAAGTTTGGTTAACTGTGGCCCAGTAGTTTCAGAGGAGTAGATTTTTGTAAAAGTTAACGACGGACGACGGACGACAAGTGATGAGAAAAGCTCACTTGGCCCTTTGGGCCAGGTGAGCTAAAAACACAAAGTTTTGTTCAGTTGGAATACACAGATAGTACACCAACTGAACAAATGGTTTATATAGTACCCGGAGAAATTATCCCATTAATCAAATAAAGTAATAAACGCCGGTACTAAAATTTTGAATCTTTGAAGTGACCGCTGTATTACCCTTATTTAAACTCTTAACCTCCCCAAAACACTTAAAAGTAACATGTGTAATGGGGTTTGCGTACCATGGTTATTCAATATTCTGAATGGAGTGTTTACTTACATCTTAAACCCCACTGGCTAAATTTGTACATGTTCTAACAAATTTTATACATGTCCATTTAACTCTGGACAAGTGCAACTAAACTATACTATACACTATACTTCAAAGTTCAAATTACTTTTAATGAAAAGTTCTCTATAATACATATCATGACTAAATGTCATGTACAGTCTATTACATTGGGTTTGATCAAAATAATATCAGCTCTTTTTCTGCTCTGTTATACAAACTCTCACATCGTATGAAAACCGGTTTAACCATTTTGAAACATGTGCCACTATCGATACATGGTAAACAACATGTTAATCTTTTGTAGTTAAATAAATATGCAAGTAAATGTTTATGTCTTCCTTTATTTCATTACCATAATCTGTACCATATCTACTTAAAATAAAATCAATTATTTTTACCTTAAATATAGTATTGTCTAAGTATTAAGCGATATGAACACAAGTGACGTAGCCTGTGGCGGATTCAGGTGGCGAAAAGTTCCAGGAATTAGGCCCCATCTCTTTTGATCGAAACATTTTTTTTGGGGGGGGGGGGGGGGGGGGGGGCATAAAATTGTAAAAAAGTTCGCCTCGCCACGCTCGGTGCTATTCAAACAATTACACGTAATTACGCCCCCTTTTCCTCCAATTATGGATCCACCCCTGGAAGCATATGTTACCAAGAAAGAA